GAGCTGTGGAGGGACCTCAAAGATTATCGTCTCATGATGAATTCAACAGGATAGAGATGGAAAAGTGTTTAAGCAAACAGAAGTGTGTACACTTTTAGTATTCCTTGAGTGTTTCTTTCCCTGACTAAGTTTATGAAGAATCAGACCACAGATGACACAATAAGGTCACCTGCATCTTGTAGAGAGCATTTTAGAAGAGCCGGAAGGCCTTGGGAGGCACAGGAGCCTTTCTGGTCTCATCAAGAGCTGGGTGATTTATCAGCCATCTCCTCCCCACGTTAGCTGTTTGGTGAGAAAAGTTGTTTCAACAGCACTGTGTGTCCTTTCATTATAAATTTCATCTCCAAGTAGGAATTTCATAGCAGGCCTAATGTTTGATAACTATTTCTTGAAAATGGCAGTAGAAATCTGATGTTTGATCACTTATTATGTTTGGATTTCAGCAACAGTATTATCCTTATTTATTCTTTAACTGAATTTGTTCAGCATGTAATAAATCTGACAGTTTTACAGGCCCTGTTTGGAAGATGGCCAGTACCGATAAAAGATAAAATACACATTACCGTTTACATGAATTCTGGATGATTAACTGGTTTTAATGGCATGAGATTGTATTGTGAACACCTGCTTTGTTACCTTATAAGTTGCATTGATGAATTTCATGCAAGAGTGCTTTTTTTTTTTAAGCTATGTTGAGGGTTAACACAGAGAAGGCAATGGCACCCCACTCAAGTACTCTTGCCTGGAAAATCCCATGGATGGAGGAGCCTGGTAGGCTCTAGTCCATGGGGTCACTACGAGTTGGATATGACTGAGCAACTTCACTTTCACTTTTCACTTTCATGCATTGGAGGAGGAAATGGCAACCCACTCCAGTGTTCTTGCCTGGAGAATCCCAGGGACGGAGGAGCCTGGTGGGCTGCCGTCTATGGGGTTGCACAAAGTCGGACATGACTGAAGCGACTTAGCAGCAGCAGCAGAGGGTTAACATATTATTTTGCTTTCATCATATCATGCTAAGCATTAAACTGACATTGTTTACTCACACACCCCCGCCCAAAGTATTGTTACTTTAAGAAAATCAAACGTTGGTTCTTTGCTCTACTGTCTAGTTTGTACAGGCTGACATCAGAGGATGTAAGGGACGATGTGCTATCAGTAACAGCAGGGCTATTGTTTTGCTCTGGATAGCAAGAATGGACAAACTGAAACTTCTTTTCCAGTCTCGTCCTTTCACACACGCACCCCCCACCCCCAGTATTTGGTAGAAACTGGCTTATTCTCAATGACTATAATTTCCTATAAGGTACAACCCAGGAATTTACTTGTGACATTTTTAGTTTTTATGATTCATACTGAACATTTCAGAATCCAGAAAGAAATGCTCAAGAACATTAATTTCATGTGAATATTGAAAACATGCAGACCGTTTAAGAAACTGTTAGTTTACACCTGCTCACAAAATGAAATGTCTAAAGCTTCAATGCTGCCCTTGTGTATTCTCCATCTCCTTCCCTTTGTTGGAAATTAATATTTAACTTTGATCTACAAAATTTCATTAAAACTCATCTGTATATACAATTTATTTTCTAATAAATTTTCATTGTGGTATAGTTATTTGAACAGTGTAAGTTTCAGATGCCCAGCAAAGTGAAGCAGTTATGCATATACATATAGCCACTCTTTTTTAGATTCTTTTCTCATTTAGGTCATTACAGCATATTGAGTATAGTTCCGTGTGCTATACAGTAGGTTCTTATACATTACCTGCTTTACATATAGTGTTGTGTATATGTCAGTCCCAACTTCCCAATTTATGCCTGGCAGTTTATTTTATTTTCAGTGATTGTTTTCTATGTGTGCTTGCGGTGTTTTGTTGAAATGCATCACTGCTGCCCCTTCATGCAGGGTTACAATTATTTGATATGTATTTGGGGACAAGTAAAAGTAGATGATGTTGACACTAATGTTAAATCCCCGAACTGAGTATATACAACTTTTAAGTAAATCGGTCTCTTATTTTAGCTAAATGATGAGAAACTTTCTGATCATTCTGATAGGATTACTATTAAATACTTTTGGGGGGGTGGCCTTTTTTATCAACAAACTTATCACGTATACCTTCTATATGGGGTATTTTGTTACAGATTGGGGATTCTATTTTTATGATAAAAATGTTTTTTGATTGATAGAAAGCTATTTCCAGGGTGGAAATCCCCTAGGTCGCTTGTTGAGAGCTCACTCAGATTGGATGAGTAATTCTTTTGGTTTTTTTTTTTTCGTGCTCGTGAGTGAAGCCATGGGAATTGTGGTTCTAGGAGAAACACTGAAAGGGGATGTTTGGAAGGTGTCATCAGAGCTGGGTTCTGGTGTTTTGGCTTCCCCATCTGTCCTTTTAAGTATTGAACTGATTTACTTTTATTTGGGGCTGTGCTTGGTCTTCGCTGCTGTGGCTGGCCTTTCTCTAGTTGCAGCATGAGGGCTTCTTGTTGAGGGGGCTCCTCTCGTTGCGGAGCACCAGCTCACGGACAGGTAGGCGTCAGTAGTTGCTGCAGGTGGACCCACTAGTTGTAGTCCCCGGGCTCTGGAGCGCAGGCTCGATAGTTGTGGCACATGGGTCCAGTTGCCCCACAGATGTGGAGTCTTCCCAGATCAGGGATCAATTACTGGTGTTCCCTGCATTGCAAGGTGGATTCTTAACCAATGGACCATGAGGGAAGCCCCCCACTTTTTATACCTCCTGCAATGCCCTAGCAGCTGCCACACCTGCCCACAGCCCAGCTCAGACCCTGCTTCCTCCCCACCAGCAGCGTGTCTCACAGGACAAAGGACACCTGTTTCTCTTTAGTGGAGCTTTTCCTATATAAGTCTCCTACATAAATTTCTCTTCTCGCCCCCATCTTCTTCTAGAGAGACACACCCCTTCTCATGGCCCTCACATGCCAAGCCTGAGTCACATCAGTGGGCAGGCAGTCTTTGAAGGAATGAGTGAATGATATTTAGAGAAGGGGTAGGGATTGGAGCATGGGAGCCCGGCAGTCCAGATCTTGGTGCTTCTCGCACCTGACCTGTGACTCCTGATTCGAGGAAGAATGGCTATTTTGATGAAGCAACCCCTTACCGTAACTATAGCAAAGAATAGAATATGTAAACCTGTGTGTCAGTCCCACTTCCACCCTTTGCTGATCCGCTCCATGACCTTGTGCTATGGATGATAATGATTATCCCCATTTTACAGAAAAGGTAATTGAGGCACGAGAGAGAACTTCTTAAGGTCCCGTAACTAACATGGTGAAGCTTGGGTGTGGTTCCTGCCTCTCTACTCTCCAGCTTCTCGTAGTCTGTTTTTGCTGATTAAATTCTATCTGGCAATTGCTTGGTGCAGAATAAATGCTAAATGAACAGTAACTAAATACAGATTATACTTATCAGCCCAAACCTGTGAGTGCACCACAGGGCCTCGGCGCTTAGTTACGTTGCTCCCAGCCTCAGGAACCTGCCACACTAGCTTCCAGAATTGTCCCCTCCTGATGCAGCCTCTGGAATACAATGTAATTGGCACCACCTCCCTCAACTCATCCAGTGTCTGTTGGTTCTCCTTACATGTGATTCCTAAAAAAAAATATATATATATATATATATATCCCTCCCCCCTTGGATCAGAGTTGAGGCCAGAAGACATGAGTGTGCTGGTTGGAGCACCCAGATCCTAGCCTGGGCACAGCTGGGCAGTTGGATGGGTGTGTGACCGTGCTCTCACCATCAGGCCTGCCTGGCCCTCCTAGCCCACCTGCCTCCTTGTCCTTGCTCTCAATGGACCTGTCACTCTTCCAGCATCATCTGTAAGTCCCTGACCTTCTCCCAACTCGTGCTTACCTCTGATTTTTCCAGACTGGATAGGATGAAAAGCCACTTTGCAGGAAGTGAAGGAGGGCGAAGGTGGTTTTCAAAGCCTAGGGAACAAAAGGCAGGAGGAGGTGGTGTAGAATTGGAACTCAAGGAGAGATTGCTAAGTGCTGACTTAGACTTTGGGGGCTGGGGTTTTTTCTTTGCTGAGCAGTTATTAAACACCTTGAGTAACAACCATCTTCCATGTCCTCAAAATCTTTGCCAGTCCTTTTGCATAGTTCTTTTGAAACGTAGATCTCTGTCACTCTTGTTATTTACAGATATAAATGTTATTTTGATGGTGTTCCCAATGACCCATGTGAACACCCTGATTCTCTTACTATATATCCTTTTATTTTCTTAGGGAAAGGAATTCAGCAAGTGGGCCAATAAGTGGCCTCCCCCACTAAGGTCAATAATGTTCCTGATCTTTTGAGTGCATCTTAAGACCTTTGTGATAGCAGCTAGAATCAGGGAAGGAGGTGGAGCCTGGCTGGCAGGATGTGAGAGGGAGTCACCGCTCAGGGAGAGGAGGGCCTGGCGGGGGGGCAGGGGATCCTGTTTGAAGGACGTTGCTCGCCAGGACCGGGGTGTCAGAGCAACCTGGTCAGATTTGGAAGCACAGCTTTGTGGTGAGGCACTGCCTCTTCCGGGGGCTGTTTGTCACGAGTGAGTGATTGCAGTACAGATGTGACATTGGCCAACCCCAAACAGAAACTGGGAGGAGCCCCTGACAGCACCTGTAGTTCTCACGTGGGGCACCATTCCTCCTGAAACTGGAGGCTGGCAGCAGAAACACCAGGCTAGCAGATCATAGTTCAGGTGCTGTTGACATGTTACAGCTCCTGTTGGAAGAGTGGGCCCACTGAGGTAGGCTTGTTTGTTTTCTAATTGTTCACCTTGACATTTGTTTAACTTAAGCAGGGTTACCAAAAAAAAAAGTCTTCTCATTAGGAATTATACATGTACATAAATCAAAACAGTGTGTTAATTGCTGCTGTCAGATTTCTGATTGAACTCAAAGCTCTTTTTATTGTCAGCAGAATTGACCATTGGCTCCCCTCATTTGCCTTCTCTGTGTTTTGTGTTTCAGTTGCTGATATGTGTTCAAGATGAGTGGGATGGGAGAAAACACCCCTGACCCATCCAGGGCAGAGACACGGAAGCGCAAGGAATGTCCTGACCAGCTCGGACCCAGGTGAGACCCTCACCATGGCCCAGGAGAGCCGCGCACACCTGAGCCTTGGATTTGAAGTTTTATCTATCTGTTTCACACCTGATTCACATGCTCTCCTTGGTTTTTCTCCTTAACTGTCAAGCCTTTGGATACGTATTATTTAACTTGTATAGTTATGCTAATCGGTTGCAGATTTTATTCTTACAAGAAGAGGCATGCTCCATACTTCCTCTAGGTTCCCTGTGTACTCTGATTCTTAAAACCAGTTTATTCTACATAATCTTGACTGTTTTACATTTTTACTCCTTTTTGCTTTTAGAATGTCATAAAGACAAGAGATCCCATAGTAAGAAGGTTTGATGCTAAGAAGTACCAGCTTTTTTTCCTTCCTTTTCTCTTTCTTTCTGTCTAAGAGCAAGAAATGAAATGTTAAATCCCTTTGCTTTTGAGTTGATTACAAAGACTGAGGATCTTCAGTGAATAAAACAAATAATTTTTTAAAACAAGTTTCATGTTATATATTATGGGTAGAAGTATGGGTTGTTATGACCTCTACATGGGGTGGTATAGCAGTATCTGTTAAAATTATAAATGCATATCCTCTTTGAACTAGCAGTTCCATTTCTAGGAATTTTCCAGTGATATATGTTGACACATGCAAAATGACTTATGTATGAGGTTGCTCGTTGCAACACTGATTATAAACACAAAAGATTAGGAAAACCCTAAACATTTGTAGGGAGCTATGTAAATAGCTGTGACACATCCACACACAATATAACTCTGAAAAAGAGTGAGGACACTCTTTATGGGTTGATACTTAGCAATTTCTTAAGAATATTGTTACAGAGGAAAAGCAAGGTTCAGAAAATGTGTATGGTATCCTACCATTTCTACAGAAAAAGAAAATAAGAATCTGTATGGTTTTAGGGTAATTAGGAGACACAAGAGTTGTTACCCATTTGGGGGAATGAAGACTCGGGAACAGAGGTGGAAGAGAGACTTCACTCTTTTGATAATTGAAATCATGTAAATGCTTTTAACATTTAAACAGCCACTTGTATCAGTATTGATTCACTGATTGTAAAAAATGCACCAAGTTAAAATGTAAACAATATGGGACCCTGTAAGTGGGGAGGACATGTAAGAATGCTGCACTTTCTGATAAATTTTTCTGTACATTTAAAAATTCTCTTATAAATTCTATTAATTAAAAAAATCATAAATCACCCAAGAGTAACAATGATAGAAAAGTTCATGTCTTTTAAAATAAAAATAAACAGTTCACAATTCATATTTAAAAAAAAAAATAAAATAAACAGCCACTTGTATTCAGTGGTCAATAGAAAGACTAGGTGAGGAATACCAGGGAAGAGCACTGGGAGCCGGAGAAAGAGCAGAAAGCCTTTTCCCCATCTAGTTGCCAAGCAAAATAAGCGGATTGAATGGCCACTGACCACACTACAGCCCCAGTCCCCGGCTCCTGGGTGCACCCTCTGGATTCCGTGGTCCTCCCTGGCCAGCCTCAGGCTGTCTGTCAAACTGCCTTCACAGCCCGCGGTCCTGGCCGAGGAGGCGGGTGGTAAATAGAGCCTCTTCTCCCCCAGTCTTCTGCTGGTTCTGGGGGTGTGCATGGCTCCCACCATGCCCGCCCCTCTTCTCTCACATGTGCCATTTAGTAGGTATCTTTGGGGGCTGGGGTGAGGGAGGGAGGTGGAAGGGGTAGAAGGATCCAGAATTGGAATGTGGCTCTTTAGTGCATGGCAGCCATGGCCTTCCTTTCTCCAGACTTAAGAAAGTAGACGCCAGGAGTGAAATTGAGACTTAGCAAAACCCAGTTCTGGTCACTGAGTGATCTTGGACAAGTCATGCAATCATTATAAAATAGAGAAACTGTGTTCTGTCTTAGGTTTATTAGTTCATGAAAATAATGCTAATATGTAAATGCAAGCATATGAATGTCTGTTACAAATTACAAAGTTTTATAAATTGGTATTACATACAAATAATTTTATGTTAAGAACATAACAAGCTGATACTCTGAACAGTGTACTTTTCTTATTTATTGTATTGTTTGAATGTCAGCCAGTGGACTCTGTGCTGTATTTGAGAAAAAAAAAATGACACCCTGTAATTATTAAAGGGAACTTCTGAATTTGCTCTTTCATCAAATTCAGATGAGAAGATCTTGCCAGTTTTTATTTTTCCCTCCCTTCCATTAACATTTTAAAACTAAAGTTGAACTTGGACTGTTTGTTTACTTTTTGCTTGTCATTCAGCTGAACAGTTAACAGAGACCCTGGGTCAGTTTCACTTTTGTTTCTAGCTGCACTGTGGTTTTTTAACATCACCCTAAAGACCGTTGGGTTTAATCATTAACATCCTAAAGAAGTATATGAAATGATGAAGGTTTATTTTCATTATTTTGCCGTGAAGTTTATTTATTCCTGTTATAACTAGTTTAACTTCCCTTTCTTAATCTTAAATTTTTACAAGCAAGAGCTCCTTTCCATTTCTAAACTCTTATTCATTCAATAATAAATTTGATGCCTATTTGTACCAAGTGTCGCTTTAAGCACAGTGCTGGGCAGATCATCCTTGTCATTGTGAAGCGTACAGTCAAGTGGGAGACATTAAACACATTGAACAAATGATCGCATAAGTGAATTTGTAATTACCAACTGGGACAGGGTTGATTTAAAAACAAACAAAAAAAATGCAACATTTGGGGCAAATTCAGGATTTTCCCCCCCAAAGTACCTCCATGTTTCTACATGTAACTTTTGCTTGCTCTCTGTATTCAGACATAGTTAACATTCTTATCTTTTTCATAATAGCCCCAAAAGGAGCACGGAGAAACGTAACCGTGAACAGGAAAATAAATATATCGAAGAACTTGCAGAGCTGATTTTTGCTAATTTTAACGACATAGACAACTTTAATTTCAAACCTGACAAATGTGCAATCTTAAAAGAAACTGTGAAGCAAATTCGTCAGATCAAAGAACAAGGTAAGAGGACCAAATGAATACTTTGGAGAGTTGAGCTGCTTTCTGTTTTTCCATGTGTGAGAAATCCCTTCAGAGTCCCTTTAATCCATTTCTTAGGCTTAAATTATTGATGAGAAGATGATGTCACAGTGCAAGATGAATGCAGGTATCACTTGCAGTGGTTTATAAATAGGCTCTGTATAAAATTCAACAATCTCCTAAAGATAGAGGGGGCCAAGGTGAGGCAGGGTGATGTAACTTTTCATCTAGTAAAACTCAATTAGGTGCCCACTGATCCCACGCCACCTTGGTATTTTCATAGCTCACACAGCGAGTGACTGTCAGAATTTGCAAGTGAGGAGCCAGGCAAGGATGGAAACCAGAAGTAAGGAAGTGAGCCACCTCTTGTTTCAGCTCGTCAGCATGTTTAAGTCTGAGCCTCAACTGGCCACTCCACTAAATTAGAGTTTCATATCCCGAATGACAAGAGATTTGAAAGGCTCAACCTCGAGACAGAATTCTTTTGTGAAGTTGAAACACAGAACATGACAGCTCTCTTCCTGGGCTTTTCTTGTCTGTCTTTCTTTTTTTTTTTTTTTCCCTGAGCTCATTTTCTGCCTCTTTCCTTTGATATTTTTGCCCGCAGAAAAAAATTTAAGAAGATAGTATTTTAAAAATCACATCAGACTTTGTAGTGCCAAAAAAAAATTGTATTAGGCAAGTACGAACAGCGTCTTAGCACCTAGGGCCAATATATGCTCATGAAGTGTTCATACACTGCCTTCCTTTGGGGCCAGGGAGACTGTTACCTTCTGTCATCTGTCTTTGAATGCATCCTCTTGGAGTTCATATTGGGTTTTTTTTTATCTGCTTTTTATATAACATTTAAAAGAGGCAGATTTTAGAAAAATAATGTCTGTTTCTACACGTGAGCTTGCAGCTTTGCCTGCTGCCCTCCATCATAAAATCCTGTTTGCATATTTTCATCATAACATTTTCCATTTTCATACCAATAATATTGAGCTGAGTTTTATATAGAACAATTTTACAAGTATAGTTCTATCTTCTAAGAACTGAAACACACATATACATATAATTCACAAGGCAGATTCTGATATAAGCCCACTCTAAAAATGAATATTTCCTGGTTTCTCCATCAAAATTATATCATTGTAACGTTCAGCTTTCACAGAGTCTATTCAGTGCCTGCCTTAGTCGCCTTCATCTCTTTCTTCTTTTTTTTCTTTTAAGATTCACTAGTTATCAACAACTCAGTTTCATCTCAATTTGGTATCAGCAAATGGATAAAATCATAGTCCCAAAATTTTCTAGGAGAAATAACTGGTTCAAGGTTACAGTGCTCTGAAGTTGCCACATTTCTAGGTGCTGATATCATCGCAGTGGAGAAATCACTAAGCTTCTTGTTTTGTGTTTCTGGAGATTTTGAATGGTTCATTTTTGCGAACATCAGATTTTTAGGTAAAACTTCCACACTTTAAAACAGTTACTTATGTATGTGTTTTACTATCAAGGTCTTGCACAAGGTTTTACAGTTTTGCAAAACCTTGGTATTCCCCCCTTCAAACCATAAAACACGTTAAGATGTGTCACGCTGGGACTCTGCCATACTTTCACTGTGGGTGTAATCATAAGGCCGCATACCACAACCACCCAAGAAGCAGCAACAATAAACGCCCTGTCACGTCTCCCTCTTATAATAATGTTCCCATTAATTTGAAAAGTAACGTGTTTTGAAAAGGAAAAGCAGAAGTTAAAACCCCAAAGAAAAGTCCAAGCATACTTTTCACTTCTCGACTAGTCTGATATTTTAAGACTATTACTAGTTTAATAAATTGTTTTTTAGAAAGAGCAGGGACCTTAGAATCAAACCAGGTGGAAGCCAGACATGAATCCTGGTTCTGTCTCTTACAAACTTTTTGAACCTGAGCAAATTATTTTTGCTCTCTGTGACTCAGTTTCCTCATATAGAATTTAGGAATCACAGCCTCTAGGTTGCACGGTTGTTGAAGAAATAAGGAGCTGTGTAAACATTCCCAGCAAGTACTTGTCACAGTATTTAGTACATATTCAGTTGACAGCTTTCCCATATTCAGAAGAAAGGCATCTTTTTTGCTTCGTGTGTGCTGTGTGCTAAGTCGCTCAGTTATGTCCGACTCTTTGCGACCCTGGACAATAGCCCATCAGGTTTCTCTGTCCATGGGATTCTCTAGGCATGAATACTGGAGTGGGTAGTCATTTCCTTCTCCAGAGGATCTTCCCAACCCAGGGGTTGAACCCACGTCTCTTATGTCTCCTGCATTAGCAGGCAGGTTCTTTACCACCAGCATCACCTGGAAAGCCCCTTTTTTCCTTCATCTATGCTCAAATCTCATACAGTCAGCTCTTCCTTTTCAGATGGAAGGAGGGGGAAAAGGCAGGGACATGGTTGTGCCTACTGTCCCCTACAGGGTCATTTGAAGAAAGTCACATTTTGCTGGGGCCAGAGGACTCAGCATAGCCTCCGCCGACAAGAGGCGGACACTCTGTTGTGGCTCTGTGCCACCACCCTGATTTTTCTCAGGAGCTGGCGGCCAGCGGATTGTTCAAAGGCAGCACGAAGGACAGAAGGGGACCCTTCCTTCTCTGTGCGCTTCTGCCCGCCCAGCTACCAGTCACTGTGAATGGAATCTAACCATCATTTTTACAGCATCGCTTCACCACCCAGCTACCAGTCAATGTGAAGAGAATCCAACTGTCATCTTTACCGTATCATCCAGACTTCATTTGTATTGCTGTCACAGGTGGTAGCGTGAATAAAACCCTCGCTGTCCTGAGGGGTTAAGCTGGGTTGCATGAGACCCATACTCAAGGCTACACAGTCTGGAATTCGGGCTCCCGTGAAAGGAACCCACCCTGGTCCAAAGCTTAGGCAGCTCGGCCCGGCCAGGTGAGGTCTTTCACTCAAGTCTGCTCGGCCATCAGCTGCTCCTTCCCATTCCATAGGCTTGGGAATAAAGACAGAGAATGAACGATAATTTTAAATGGCCGAAAGGGTGGGGATTTGGAGGGGAGGTTACCAGCTACCGAAGTAAGTTAGCCTCCCTTGTCTGAAGCACTTTCTGAGCCCCGTGTTTTTTGGTAGATGCTAGCCCTACATGAACATCATTCGGCCGTGGACCTCACAGTAGCAGACCAAGCACACACACGAGTCTGCACTTGAACCATGACCCCTGCTTTTGAACTCTAAAGCGGGATGTTTCTTCCTATGTGGTATACCGGTAAATGGTGAAAATCTGTGGCATCCATAACTTACAAAGAATAGTCATAAGTAGTAAGTTATCTTTTTTCCCTAACTGGGAAGACTTAATACTGCTTCTGTTTCATAGAAAAATACAGATGATTTAATTTTGGATGACTGGGTCCAATTACACACTCCTTAGCTAGAAACTTAAATTTAAAAATTTCTATGGAAAACACTCGGTGACTCCTGTGCTCTTAAAAAATAGAATTGAAGCATAAAATGACCCAAACAGGAGGGGAGTTCTAATAATACGTCTTCCACTGCCCTCTTCAAGTGAAGTGAATGTCGCTCAACCGAGTCCCACTCTTTATGACCTCGTGGATTCTAGCCTGCTGGACTCCCCTGTCCGTGGAATTCTCCAGGCAGGAATGCTGGAGTGGGCAGCCGTTCCCTCCTCCGGGAATCTTCCTGAGCCAGGGATCGAACCTGGGTGTCCTGCATTGCAGGCAGATTCTGCATTGCGGTCCGAGCCATCAGGGAAGGGCTTTTAAGGTAATATCTCCTCTATTACTCCAACATAGCCACACTTTTTATTTTTCAAAAATAATAGTCTAAATTGAATTGTATTATTTGGAAAGCATTCGTCCTTTTATTTGAAGCCATTTTAGTGCATATATTTGAATATAGAATGTGATACATTTATCAGTCAGTGGAGAAACTTTTACCCTTTTGTTATTATTTTTCTGAATGTGGATAACAATAAAAATGAAAAAGTATATTTCAAAAATTTGCATTTGTACAGGCTCAGTTTGGGGGGCAAATTCCTTGTTGAATCAGGCAACCTGTTAAAAGATCATTCTGGTTTCTCACTGTGATTACTCTAATGATTTAATTTTGATTGTAGTATGAGAGCATTGGGATTATGGATTGCTTCATACACATAAATTTCCCCTACAATTGAGCATAGCATAAAAGATGAGTATTTTAACAGAGGGTGAGGGGCAGCAGTGGGTTGAAGTCAACTGGTGTCAACCATCAAAAGCCACTTGTTATATTTTAAGAATTTCATAAACCAGTTAATAAGCACAACCATTATTGAAAATTGTTTAGACTTAACAATTAAATTACATATTTAAAAAAAAAGGTAAGGAAGATTAAAGCTCCTCATTTCCTAATTATTTTACTACATTTTACTATTACCTCTTCTCTAGAGGCTTTTGTGTCTTATGTGATAAGACACATGATAGAAATATAATACTAGGCAGTGGCGGTCACTGCAAATCTCTAATTAACATCTAATATTTTAACATTAAATATACATAAAGATATTGTCCAACTCATCATAAAAGTCACAAACTGACAAACAACTGGATTTTTGTGTTTAATATCTTAACCATGCATTTTCATTATTTCGCTTTTGTCTTATTCTTTAACCGAAGTGAAAATATCAAGCAACATTTGTGTCAGAACTCTATCTGTTCATCACTTGTAATCAAAAGATAGCTATAAGGCAAGAGTTTGGCAGAAGTCAACAAACGTTCTGTTAGAATCATTTGGCTCTATGGAATTTGCAACAGAGGGTGTCATATATTTTATTATCACTTGTAAATTATATACTCCACATCCTTTGTACTAGTAAAATTCATAATAAACATTTTGATACTTACTATTTTTCCCCCAAGGGGCTGGTTTTTAAGCATTTCCCAGTGTACCACTGGTGGGTATAGGGGTGTGCAGGTTGTATTGTAAATGTAGGTGAGTCAAATTCATAAGCTCATTA